CCTGCGGGAGACCACCAGTCCTTGGGGGCAGGAGCCAGGCCTTGTCCAGCTTTCACCCCGTATGGCAGTTTGCAGGGGCAGGCAAAGGGATTTGGGCTTTGGAGGCTGGCCCAATATCACCTAAGTCAATTTTGTGCAGTAAGGACGTTTGGTTTTAGTGTTTCTCAGTGGCAGCACACTTGGTATTTGGGGTGAGTCAGCTCATTTTTAGGCAGATCTATCTGGTACCTAGAAGGGTATTTAACATCCCTGGGTTCAAAATCCCCAGTTACTGAGAAAACACAAACCATGGCACTCCCGGAGAAGGAGCCTGGTGAGAGGGGAACCATGCCCAGGCAAGACCAGTCTGTTACATGAACCACAGTAGAGAACACCTTGGGCTTGGGCTTGGATAAAATGGTCCCGGCTGCATTCTGCACTAGCTATGGGACTGTGGTCAGGCCATACATAGCCTCTCTAGACTCAGCTTCATGGGAATAATGCTGCTGTAAATCATCCACAAAAGGCATTTAGCACAGGTCCTGGTCTCCAGTAATCTGTCAATGACAAGACGCTAACATTTAAACCTTTAAGATTTTCCATAAAAATCAGTTAACCAAAGCAGGACAATAAAGTCTCTCGCAGGATAATGAAAGATTTTTCATTTAAAAACACAGAATCCCTGTAAGACAAGTGTTTCGAGAAAGCTTGTCGAGTCAGTGGTTCTGCCTCAAGGGACGTAACAAACCGGTCTGGGAGATCTAACACACACTGAGTTACACAGTTTCCCTTGGCTTTGGAATTAGAAAAGGAGAGCAAAATGACTTCTGGAGCCTAGACTGCAGGTTCCTGGGCCAGAGGGGTTGGTGCGTGGGAACCCTGAGGGAGACACACAGGAGGCAGCCCGCTCCTTAGTCATCATGGCCCAGGATCCAGATACAAAATCAAAATCCCACTCCATGGGCAGTTTTATTACACATGAGAGAAAAATATATAAATGTACACTGGCAGGAACATAAGAGTCACCTAAGTTCTACAGGGGGAGAAACTGAGGGTCAGAGAGGGAAAATAACTTACCCAAAGTCAGAGTTCCAGAAAAGCACATAAGAACCCCAACTGTAAATCCAAGGCGTGTATCACTGTCCAGAAATTAGGGAGTGGGATGAGCGTTTGGGAAATTTCTCAGGTTGCTGGCAGTGCCATCTAGGAGTGGGAAGTGGCAGACTGTTGGGCAGAAGTGACAGTGATTCTTCTCTGGCTGCAGCTGGATGACTTGTGCTAGCAGCACACAGAAGGCAGGGAGGGGGGGTCACGCCCAGCTAGATGCCCCACCTGAGAACCCAGGTGACCACTGACTGCCCGGAAGAGAGAAAGGAGCTTCCTGAGCTGACACCTTTATTCACGTGGGCAGACTTTCTGTGTCAGCAAGTTGGCTGCCACTCTGGACTTGAATGAAGGGGCGGGGCATCAATGAAGGGCGTCCTCATTGCTATTAACTCTCCTGTGTTCCTTTGTCCCCCCCATCTGGATTATAAATTCAGGGAATCCTACTCTTCAGAGAAGCAGGCTAAATGTGGAGTGGAGGGTGGGAAACCACAGAGGTTGCCTTGAGGAGGAAGGAGTGATTCATGTAAAAGCCGAATTCAACATTTCTAACCTGCATGGGCACTGATCATAAGAGTTATGTTCAGGTCTGAGCGTGTCTCTGCTTGAGTCTCAGGCTTCATCATTTTTCTTTCCAGACATCCTATGCATCTTTCAGTTGCAGAGAAGTCACCTCCTCTGAGAAGCCCTCTCTGACTTCACCAGGCTAAGCTAGGTGTTCCCAAGGAGCGCCTGCCCACCACAGTGCCCATCGCAGATGCTAACTGTTGGCTTCTTTGTTGCCCCCACTAGACTCCAAGGACGAGAACTGCATGTCTGTCCTATTTTCCAGTAGATCCTTAGCCTCTGGCACCTCAACTAGCAAACGGTAGGTCCCCCAAAGCATTAGTGTCCATGATCCCGGAGGCTGAGGGAGAGATGGAGGAGCCCAACCACCTCTCCCAAGTTGGGAGTGTGGCGTTGGGGAGACCCCCTTTGGGCAACTTTCTCAACTCTGTGCTTCACGGGCTTATCTGTAAAATGGGGCTAGTCTGCATGTAAAGTACAAAGGACAGAGGGAGCGCCAGTGTCAGCTACTGTGGTCATGGTTGTTAGCTCTACAGATGGGGACACTTAGGCTCAGGGAAGGACATGACAGGTTCGCAGTCTCAAGGCTGGAAAGGGGGTGAGCCTTGGCCTCCAGTCTAAGCTCTGGTCTCCAATGTTTGCCTCTCTCCATTCTACACTTGCAGTCAGTAAACAGCCAATAAACAGCTACTGGATGCCTGCTATGTGCCAGACCCCAACCTGGGTGTGGTATGGTTGATAATGAAAAGCTGCTCAGTAGGGAGTGGGATGAGCAAGAATGTAGCTTTGGTGTAAAATCCTCCGGGGCTCAAATTCCAGATTCTCCACTTCCCGGCTAAGATATTACTGAAATCTCTAATCTCTGAGCCTATTTCCTCCTCTAATAACAGTGAAAAGTAAGACCTCCCAGCAGGAGAGCTGAAACCAGGCACTGGTTTAACATTTGACAGCTGGGAGCCTTATCATCCTGTTTAAAAAATAACCAACCTGTGCACATAGCAGTAATTGCCCACTGCGGGGGGAGTGGGGGCGGGGGGTGCAAAGGCTCGCAAATAGGACAGACACACAGTTCTTGCCCTTGGGGTCTAGTGGGGCCAACAAACAAGCCAGCAGTTTAGCATCTGCGATGAACGCTGTGGTGGGCAGGTGCTCCCCGGATCCCTCCAAGATCACAGTTCTGTCCGTTGCCCATTGCCGTGGCCCCAGGATCATAGTTCTCCTGTCGAGGTCACCACAGGTAACAACTTCTTGGGTGTCTTGGCAGGCGGCTGGTGCGCACACCCGCAGACACTCACATCCCTACACACGTTCTTTTACACAATCTGTAGCGCCGATCCACGCTGTTCTTGTTGGTATTTTTTCATCTAAGCTGCCTTGGAAGTCGTCCCATATTAGTGCATATTAAGCTTCTTTTTCTTAGCGGTTGCATAGTATTCCACTGTACAAGTTATTCGCTAATGAAGTTGCCTTTAGTATTACCAGTCTGGGAACTGCTAGCGCTCAGGGTCTACGGACCTATAGAGCTAGAGTCCGGGACGGGGTTACAGCCCCAACCCTACCCAGAATTCGCCCAGTTATCTTGGGCTCCATCTTCCCCTGCCCCCGGTATGATCTAGGGGATGGGGTAGGAGGGTGGATGCAGAAGGACCAACCTGGCGGGTGTCAGGGTCCGAGGGTCCGAGAGGCAGCGAGAAGCTCGCAGAATTTATTCCCGCGGCAGCTGTTGGCCGAGTTAATCTTTAAACGCATCCAGTGCGCTACACGAGCAGCACTAAACGCAGCGAACACTCTGGCACAACCAAGCCACGCACCGGTTAGCAGGCCCTCCGGCCTTGGTATCCGACCTCGAGGCAGCGATGCTGAACTCGCTACTCACCCCCTCCTCCGCAGCTTCAGAGCTCGACCCCAAGAGTGCCCCGAAGGTTACAGTCGTCCCGGTCCCTTTAAGAGGGCTGAGCCCGGGCATCGCTACTTCCGCCCCAAAGCCACACTGCACCGCCGGGCAGAGGAGTGGTGTAGGCGTGGAGAAAGTTCCCCTAAAAAGATGGCGACGCCCTGGCCGCCGTGCTCGCGCCGGCGGTTACGTCACTTCCGGGGCGGAGGAGGCTTAGTGGTGCAATGAGGGACAAACAAAAGGAGGCGCCGGAGGGGCGCAGCTGCCAGTGGCAGGACGGAGCGGCGGGGGCCCGGGGCTGCCAGCTCGGCGGCCGGGCGCGGCGGGCCCAGGTGAGTGGGAGGGGTGGGGAAAGGGGCGCGGGCTGTCACCTCTCGAAATTCACTCCTACACGCCCCTGGCCACCTGCCGGGCCTCGGCTGCCCTAGAAACCCCGGGTAGCCTGGGGTCCCCCAGCTGGGGCCGGGTCCCTGGGGGCTTCCCGCGGCAGCTCAGGCCTACCTCCGGACTCCCCATTCCCCGAGTTTCCGGGACCCCACCCTCTCCCCGGTGCCGCGGCGCGCGAGCCCCCTCCCAGGCACCCCAGTGCCTCCCTCCGCTCTACATACCGGGAGTTTCCGCCTCTGCACCCCAGGTCCTCTTGTCATCCCCTGGGTTCCCCCCGATTCTCACCCCTCCACACACACGCTCCCCCCTTCTCAGAGGTTCCACCTCTGGGCTCTCTCCTATGCGGCAGTTTTTCAAAGGCTCTCCCTGGCCCACTCCTCTTCCGGACCTCTCTCTCCTCTTGGTCTGGCGGGAACAGCGCCGTGACTGGGGGCAGGATCCCTGGCTAGGCTATTAGGGCCTTTCCGCGCTGGGGTTCCTGAAAAGGTGGCTCCAGGGTCTGAGGCCCTGGACCCTGCCTGTGTCCTGTGTATCCACATGGGCCTGAGAGCCAGATCTGATGAGGTCCCGGCTGGAGACGCAGCAAAGTTGGCTCCCAGGCTGAAGGAGCTTAGCTGCGGGCCCTTGCGGTTGGTGATGATTCTGCCCCTTCTGTTGATTGCTCCTTCCCCTTGGTTTGGAGTGGAGTGAACCAAGATTGGGCTGGTTCTCAGCTGATGCAACTGCTGCCTTTTTTGGGAAAGGAGAGATGGCTGGGGTTGTCCAGCAACATCCTCCTGATGGGGACTTGGCTGGAAGGGTGGGGCCTCCCTTGATGCCTTTTCCCCTGTCCTATCCCAGGAAGCCTTTTGAGAATGAGGTGTGAGGAAGAGGAGGGAAAGGGCTTGAAAGGGAATTTGGGCCTAAAATTGTGGAGGAAGGATTTGGGGGAGCTGAAAGGCTCAAGAAGACCTCTCCCACTTTTTCCACTAGGAGTACTTTAAACCTCTGCCAAACTGTTTGCTGCTCACTGAACAGACTGGAGGCAGGAGGAGGCGGCCTGCTGTTGGTGATACTTCCTGCATACAGGATGGGGGAGTGGGAGTTTGTTCAGAGGGACTGGGCAGTGCCTGTGGCTCAGTCACACTTGGCATTGCCTTCATGAAGGTCAAATCTTCTGGCTCCTGCCGGGAGGCCAGGACAGATGACTGGTGCTGGAGGACTGGCTTTTGGAGACGTACTAGGGCTTGTCTGGCCTCTGCCTCCCTTTCTTCCCACGTTTAGAGGTTCTTTAAGGTTGGATCTAATACCCGTCTGCCTTCCGGGGGCTGTGGAGCACAGAACAGGGGCTCAAGAAATCTTTGTGAGTTCTTCCTGGAACTCAACCAGAGGCTTTTGTACTCCATCCCTTGGGCACACCCAGTAGGAACCAATTTCCTTTGCAAACTTTGAGTGGCCTTTCTGCATTGTGGGGGCTCCTGAGGATTCCCTCAGTAGCTCAGAACTAGGGTTGGTGGCTGGGCTTAGGTTGCTGCCTGGCTTGGCCTGGACCTCCCTTATAGTAGTTGGAGGGGAGGAATTAGCCTGATTCCTGACTCCTCCAGAGAGGGGAGATGATTCTAGGTTTTCACATGTGGACACTGAGGCACAGGTTAATGCTCAGAGACCTCATAGGGAGTCAGGTGGGATAGATGTGGGGCCCTAGAGCTCCCGCACACCATCTCTCCATCCCATGACTCATTTCATTCAGTCACTCATTCAGTCATTCGACCATCCTTTTGTAGGTGCCGGCCCTGGGCCAGGCATGGTGCTAGGCAAAACCAGCCCTTGGCCTCCTCTGAGCTGCAGTCTGGGAGGAGAGACAGACAGGAAAGCACTGACACAGTGGCCAGCATAATAATAGAAATGCTGCAGAGGCAGCCCAAAGGAAGGTGGTGTTAGCACCGAGTGGGTATGTAGTGGGGGGTCAGTGCGTGTTTCCTAGAAGAGGAAGGACTAGAAGAATCAGCGACAGGGAGTCCAGAGGCCCGAGTTCTGGTCCTGGCTCTGTCTCGGGCACGTGACTGGGCTGCCCAGCCTCAGTGAGTATCCCGGTCCTTGCCCAGGAGGGCGGGTGGGGGTAGAGACTGGCTTAGGTGAACGCTGTGCCTTTCAGGTCTAGGTGCTCTGCTGCCAGTTGCTGGGTTAGTGATTTGTCTCCCTGTCGGGCTGGAGATCGGCTTCTGCTTCCCCTCCATTACAGTGCCTGGCGTAGAGCAGGTGTGAGAGATGCTCTGTCTTAAATGGTTCACAGGCTCCACAGTCCCTCCCTCTGTTTGCCTGTACACTACCCCACTCCACCCCTTCCTGCTGACTCCTGTTTATCCTTTGGCCGTCCCTGATGGCTGGGCCACACTCCCAGCTCCTGGCCACACTCCCCCAACCCGTCCTGTAGCCTTGATCACACTCGTCTTCCCACCCTGCTAACTTACCTTGTTCATTCTTGTGAACAGTTCTGAGCAGAGTGCCTGGCAGGTAGTATATGCTCACTAAATTCTCCTTGAGTCCAAGTCACGTGTCCGGGCTCAGGCTGTCTTTGCCTGGATCCGGCTCACCACTCACTGCCTCCCACCTCCAGTCCTAGACCTAGCCAGGCTGAAGGCTCAGCATTCTCTAGAGGTCATCTTCTCTCCCCTCCAGGCAAACATGTGCTGTTCTTTCTGCCTGGAATGTTCTTTGTCCAACCCCTACTGTTCCTCAGGAGTCGACTCAGGCAACACCTCTTTGCAGAGCTTCCCCGACCCCACTAGTCTGAGTCTAGTGTTTCCTCCACGTTCCCATAGCTTCTGGGCACCCCCAGCAGAGCTCTGGGCTCCCAAGAGCCAACTGTAATTGTTGTCTTGGCTTCTCCCCTGTAGACTGTCTGAATCTCTCTTTGTCACCCTAGAGCCTAGCCCAGGGCTTGGCACTGAGCAGGCTCAGGATATATTGGCAGCACAGCAGGTAACTGACAGTCACACACACCCCTGCTGACGGTGGCTCTTGCTTCCTTGTAGGGAGGCAGCTTCAATGGAGCGAAAGGAATGCCAGGACCCTGCCCAGACAGACATGGGCCAGCCTCAGCACCAAGAGCCAGCACACAGATAGCAGAGCCATCGCGGGGTAAGGACTGGGGCCCCTCTCCCTCCAGGCCAGCCTCAGCCTCCAGTCCTCCACCCAGGGAGCAAAGGGCAGGATCTCTGTTTCTGCAGCCCCTTACTCTTCTCACTGGAGGTCCAGGGCATCTAGGGCAGAGGTGGCAGAGGACAGAATTCCACCGCTTTCTTCCAGCTCGGTGGCTAGCTGAGTAGGACGTGGTTGCTGTAGGCTCCCAATGCTCACGTTACGTTTCATAGCAAACCTCTGTTTTGTCTTCCTCAGTCCGCTCAGTGTGGGTTGCTGTTAGAGTTGTCTTGTGACCACATTCCCAAGGTGTGTTCCTTGGAACACCAGTTTCTTTGGTCACAGGGGTTAGATAACTCTGGAAAACAACAACTTCTTGTTTTCCTTGCTGCAGGACTTCTCAGAGCCTTGAAGTTAGCATGACGAGTCTCTGAGAGGGAGCTAGCAGGTCATGTTTCCCCACACTTCTTTGATCACATGAACATCTTGGGGGACTGGGGTTCCTTAGCCTATGTTTTTGAAAATGGTTCCCAAAGGCAGGAGTGTGCACTAGTTAGGATTCAGCTTTATAGTCAGACCACGGTTTGCGTCCCAGCTGCCATGTGCTGGATGAGTGACTGTTGGGCCAATCACAGTTCCTCTCTGTGCCTCAGTTTCACCATCTGTGAAAAGGGGATAATACCAGCACCTTGTGTCCCTTTAGGGTATTATGAAGATCAAATGTGTTGATTTGGGGAAGGCACTTAGCAGAGTGTGCGTTTCAGGACATGTTCCATAAGCATAGCAGGTGTGCACATCGACTACTTTGTAATTTGTAGAAAGCACACCCTTATCAGTGATCCCCTTCGATCAGCAGAGGAAGCTTAGGCCGTGGCCTGTATCGCCATTACAGATGTGGAAACTATGGCTCAGAGGGAGGAAGCGACTTGCCTGAACTCTTCAGGAAGGAAAGCAGGGACATGGGACTTGAATTAGATCCTGAAATCCTGGGCCAGAATCCCGTGTTCTGTGCCTGACGTCTCCCGGCATCCACCTCTCACTTCGGCTTCTTGTTAAGGAAGGCCTGGCCTTCCCCAGCCTGGAGTTGAAAAGAAATAGTAATCTTATTTTTTGCATGTAATTATCAACACAGTTGCATGTCGATTTTTTTGTTTTTATAATGTTTTGATTTTATTGACATATAGAAAGTGAAAGTGTCCTGTGAGCCCCTCTCCGGAGATGGGACTGAGGAGGGCATATTCTTCAATGTGTGGTATTACTGTTTGCTTATTTTTCCCAAATCAAGCCCTCTCAGAGCTGCTGGTCCACAGCTCGCTCCTGTTTCACCTGACGGGCACCCCTGGACCTCTTTCCCAGGCCGGGCAGGTCTGTGCCTGAGTCCCATCACTGTGCCCTGACACTCTCCTATTTCTCCACTGTCATGGCTCCCCTCCTTCTCCATCCCAGGGATTTTGAGCTGTTTGCCAGAGCATTTCAGTAGCAGAGGGGGGTGGGAAATGCCTGGTGTGAGATTCTGTTGACTCTTCTGTTTATTGGGACCAGGTCGGCAACCCCTGGCCAGCCCTGCCCTGTAGGAGTTTCCTGCTGGTTTTGAGGAACTCTGCCCCCCGCAGAGAGAGGCCTGGGCTGAAGTCTTTTCTGTCACTGATGAGCAGGAAGCAGCAGGTCCTACTTATCTGAGCTCAGAATTCCTCCTCCGTGCCAGGGACAGCGTGGGGGGAATGCTGTGGGCTGGCCTGAGAGGTTTTGGCCTCTAGGCCTTGGCGTCTGCTGTCTGCCTGAGACAGGGGCCAGGGCGGGGGTTTGCAGGTGAGACACACAGGCTGTGCTTGCCTGCGTCTGGTCCTGACCCCGTTGACCCTGCAGTTCCTGGCAGGAGCCTTGGTCCGCTTGGAGTGCTCCTTTCAGGTTTTAGCCTCCAGTGTGGGCAGGGGAGGAGAAGGCGGAGGGGCTGCCCTTGGCCTGCTCTGTTGGGGCATCGGCAACCTCAGGATGAGTTTGGGCGGGTCCCGCATCCCGGCTATGGGCAGCGGGGAGAGCGTGGTCTGGCCGGACTGAGCCGGGAACGCGGCTGGGCTGGAGCCGGTGCTGAGGCTCACTGGCCTGACCTCCTCCTCCCTTTTCTTCCTCCTCTCCCTGGAGTCTCTTTTTCCTTCTTGCACAAGTCACTTCTAGCAGAGTCCCAGGAGCAGACAGATGATGCTCTTTCTTTCCACCTTCTCCCTCCTCCCAGCAGCCGTCCCGTGGTCATCCTCCACCGCCACGGTCCAAGCCCTAGGCGGGGTGCCAGGTCAGCATGTACGTTTACCATGTCACCCACCACAACCTTCTTTGTGAGGTCGTTTCTCCACCTACAGGCGAGGAGACCAGGCAAGGGGGAACAAGGGCTCTTGCCCCAAGTTGTACAGTTCAGATGGCAAAGCAAGAACTTGAACCCAGGGCTGTTTGCCTTGGCAGCCTGCGCTCTTCCTACCCCACCTGACGTTTTCCTTTTTTCTATGTTCTCAGGCTTGGGGTACTTCAGAGCTGCCCGAGAGCTTGTTTAAAATGCTGTTTCCTCTGGGCACATGGCCATAGACCTGGGGGGCTGGGCCCAGGAATCTGCATTTTGAAGAAGCTCCCTGGCCAACATGAGGCTGGGGGTCTGCAGACCATGCGGGAAACCCTGACAAGCGCTACTCTCTCAGCTCTGGGCCCACCCGTGAGTGTGTCCATCTGCCCCTGGAGCCAGCGTCCTGGGTATAGAAGTCAGGCTGAGTCCCCTCAGGACCCAGGTTTTAGTGACTTCAGTGTGTTTGGGTTGGGGGCGGGATGTAACTGTCCCTCCTCAAGGATGTTCGGGCCTGAGGTTTCTAGAACGGCTTTTACTCCCAGCCACAAACAGCCCTTGCTGTCTTTCCTGATGTGTTTCTACCACACCTCAAATCTTTTAGCAAGTTCTGTTTGACCGCCTCTTGAGGGCTTAAAATATCAAAATTAAATAGATTGCTACACTACACAGCCTCACTCCCGTACCCGAGTAAAAATGGCTGTAAAGTTCGACAGCTCTCACATGCCACCTGGATATCCTCAGAGACGCCGCTGCCAAGCTCATGCGCCCTCACAGAGTCGGCATGGTAGCCGCACTGACCAGGAGCAGGGCAGCGCGGAATCCTGCACTTCCCATTTCCCAGCTGGTGCCCGGGGTCGGGATCCCTGCGGGCAACCCCCTCCAGCCCAGGGAGACGGCAGCAGGCCGCTTACCCCCAGCCAGGGCCCTCTGTCCAGTCTCCTGGGACCTCAGCAGAAGATGCGTCTGCACCTCTCTTAGACTTCTGCTCACCCTTCCTATCTAGGAAGGGAACACTGGTATTCATAGCAGATGAATACCTATCTCTAAGGCCCCTCTGCCCCCATGGGCCCAGACCTGAGCTCAAACCCAGAGCTGGCTCCGTTCCAAAGTTCCCTACAAGCTGTACCTGAGAGACTGGAGGCCTCTGACCGATGCTGGCAGCCTGCTCCCGTGTCCCGGGGAGATCTTGATTCCTCAGGGGAAGGGGTCTTGTCCCGTGAAGATTTCCAGGGTTCTGGGGTGCTCGGGTAGGTCCGTCCAGGAGGCCTGTTTGCCTTTGAGGCAGATTGACACAGTGGAAAGTGAGACTTGAACGCTCTTTGCCACCATTTTTCAGCTGTGTGGCCTTGAGTAGGTCACCCAGATCCTTTCCACTCATAAAGGGAGTGATAAAACCATAGCAGCAGCTGGCTTTACAGAGTCTCACTACCTGGATGGCTCTGGGCCAAAAGCCTCATTCCGTCCTTATTACAACCCTCTTGAGGAGTGAACTCCAGCCATTTCACAGAGGAAACCAGAGCCCGGGGAGATGAAGTGACATTGCCAAGGTCACACACCGGTGAAGTGGGGAGCCACCTTACAGGTTCTCGTGGAGACTGGGACCTGAGGCTCAGGAAGTACTGCGCATGATGCCGACACTCAGCCCACGTCAGGAGCCCCAGCCTGGCCTGCTGCTTCTGTGTGCTTGGCTCGGGAACCAGTGCGGGAAGCCCCAGGCGGGTGCCCCTCACCTGTCCCCCTTCATCCTGGAAGGCAGGCCACAGCCTTGCACATCTGCATGGGGATGAACCTGATGGGGTGGCCTAGCCCAAAGGTGAGAGCAGCTTGGGACTGAAACTTGTTCCCTCCTGCCCCGGACGGTCTCCCCTCTTCCTGTCCTGGGAAGTGAGGGTGTGCCCTTGCAAGCAGGCTGAATGCGGAGCCAGGCAGAGCCCCCCCGACGCCCGCAGCTGCTGACTCACTGGGCTGGGTGTGGGGGCCTAGAGGGCAGAGCTCTGCTCTTGGGCGGGTGGGACTGCATGCGCCAGATGGCAAGGTGAGACCCCTTCCTCCCACTCCTGGCTCTGGGACCAGAGGAGGCCCCGGGGCACTGACTGCGGAGCAGATTCCCAGGCCTGGAGCCCTCTCAGGGCAGGGCCAGGGCCAGGGCCACAACGTCTTCCTGGGCCCTCTGGGGAATGGCCCTTCCCCCTCCTGGGAGGAACAGCCTTCCCAACTGTGGTGCGGAGGGGCCCCAGCCTCCCTCCTCCTGTCCTGCCTGGGAAGTTTTCCCAGCATTTCTGGTCTTTAACAAAAGCCTCTCTGTGCCCTGTTTACCCACCGCCTGGCCTGCCTTCCATGGCTCAGGTGTGAAAGCCAAATATCAGGCGGCCGGTGGGGCCGGAGCACCCTGGGGCAGGTCGCCCTCTGGGACCGGGGAAGCATGTCATTTCTTTGACTCCCTTCCCTGTCTGTAAGAAGCATGAGGAGGAAATCACTGACATGGACCAGGCTTGACACCTACAGGGTGGTTCTGAGAGCAAATTACCAGCTCTACCTGCGTCTCTTCCCGGGAGCCTGAGCCTGGCAGGGGTGCCAGAAGCCCAAGGCTCTTGAGTGTGGTCCGTGAGAACGGGAGGTGCTGGCACCTCTGGGCGGCCTGGTCTGCCCTGGGAGATGTCTGTGCTTG